CCAGAAGGTTGTCGGTCCAATCAAGTATCAATAGTCTATTTCTATTAATCAGGCTCTTAGGCTCATGGCTCACAATTTATCCAAAAGCCAGAAATTCTACATTCCAACAGGGATATTTCTCAGTTCTTTTCTCTATATTCTTACATTTATATCTCACATTCACTTTATAGAAACTTACAAAGAATAGAAATTAAATAATAATCCTTTGCAAAATCTAGGAGCTTGCTAATGAGAGAACTTGCTCCAGCTATAAACTTGGACCGTAATTCAGTAAATTAAAAAATGTAATTTGAAGAGCTTTAAATTTAGATTAGTATTTCACAGAACTTTTATAAGTATAAATTAAATAAAACAAAATGTTTTATAAACTCAGAAATTCAAAGAATCAAATAACATTTGTAAACTGAGATATTTACATAGTTGAGTCACAGGCACACCACAATTTTGAGCATATGAGTCAGACTGCACATCTTATATACAGTTAGTTTTTAAATGTTAGGGCATTATGCCATGGGTGAGCACAAAGTTTACATAATTAAGGGTTTATAGGGACCTCAGCTTTGCTTAATTCCTTTGGGGATTTTACTCCTGAGTTTAAATTATTGTCTTTGACTAGGTAAATCAGGTTGGAAAAGACATACCTGTACTCCAGTTTCCTATTTCTTAGAATAAACCCAAGTTCCTATCATGTTAAGTTCTTAATGATCAAGTCCATGCCTACCTCTTTCCCCACTGTTCATATACTCCATTCCTGTTGATCTCCTTTCCATTCTTCAAACACAAGATCTTCAACTACCCCATTATCCCCACCATGCCCAGACCCATTTGTTCATGTTTGTTCTCTCACTGGACGGCAGACTCTGTAAGGGCAGAGGTCACTTTTGGAAAGATCACTATTGTATCCCAGATGGCTAACACAACATCTGGTAGTAAGTAGCTATTTGATAAATATTTGTTAAATAGATGAATCAAGGAGATAAGTAGAATTGGTTATATGGTATGATCCAGAGTTGAGGCTGAATTTATAGAATGGAAAGGACAAGAGAAAAGATAAAGATAAATTAATATGAGGACAGCTGTAGGAATGTAGCAGAAATAAATCTTGCACATATCCTTCAGATATGTAAGGAAGAACATAAATTTATATTTATAAATATAAATCAACCTAGCTTCAATTTTGAGAATTCCACCCCCACCTCAGGTTGATGGAAAACTCAACCTCTGTTACTCATGGGTCTCAAGGATTTTATGCAAGGCCAAGGCAAGGGCTTTGATCATTGAGTCATTTGGCTTACCCTGGTTATTTCTGGGGTGTTTAATGACTATTTATACAGTTCCTTCAGGACTGGGTTCTATGATGTTTCCTGATTTTTTAATTTAAATATGAGAAATATTTCAAGGGATGATTATGGGCCTCTCTCTTTACACACAGGAGACGGTCTTTTGTTATCTGGAGTTTTGCTTTCTCTGGTGTATGATGCTACTAGAAATACAGGAACATGGCTTCCCAAGGAGGGAGTCTATAGACTTTTCTCTGTGCTCCCCAGTTCATGGGACTCTAATTTTATTGTGCTACTTCTCAAAAATATTCTTATGCTTCCCTTATTTTTAGGGCATTTAGTATGAATTTTTAAAATGATTCAATTTTATTCAAGTGAGGAAAACATGACTTTTCCCCACAACCTTGCCCTTCCAATTACAAAATTTGGCTATCTTTTCCATAATATGAAGAACAGAAAAAACAGGATGAATGAATAGAATTTAATATGTCATAAGCTTATTCTGCCAGTAGGAATTAAGTTTTGACCAGAACAGAGACAGAGTGAAATTCTCATCAGGCCACACTTAAACTTAACATATCATAATAACTTCCCTTTGCTCCTAGACTATAAGTCAATCTCCTTCACATGGCCCACAGAGATGCCACCTGCCTCTCCATTCTCTTCATGTACCATGGGCCTTCTTCTCTCTACTGGGGGCATGCTGGTTTCTTATTGTTGAAAAGAGTATGCTGTCATTTATGTGACACACGGTTTTTCTACATTCACGAATACCTCTTCACCTTGTTCATTCCCACTCATGCTTTGAATTGTAGCTCTGCTGACATTTTCCAGGGAAACCTCTTGTGCCACTTATTGCAGACATTTACAGCACCATTTATCTTGTCTTTACAGTCATACATCATGGTCACTTTGTCTCATAAGAATGAAATGCCATTCTCACTTATTGGCTTAGCAAAATCCCGTATTTTGGCAATATACTGTTGAGCAAATTGGTGTTTACTTTTAGGTTAGTGGGATTAAAAAACTAGCAAACCCTTCATGGACTATAAGTTGGCAATATCAAAATTTTCTGTCTCTCTCTCTCTGTCTCTGTCTCTTCCCCCCCCACACACACACCTCTTTTGGTTCAGATGGTCCAATGTTAAAAATTGATTTTGAAGAAGTATTTGTACACTATAAAGTGACATATTTGTTCATTATAGCATTTTTTGGTAAGAGATTAGTACTTTAAAAATTAAATGTTCATCATTGGAGGCTGGTTAAATACACTGGGATAAACCCACTTAAGGGAATACTAGGCAGCTGTAAAAAAAATCAAGGGATCTTCTTGAATACTGAAATGGGAAGACTCTCTATTTTAATGAAAAAGTGACATGAAGAACAATATGTATGGCATGCTACCTTCTGTATAAAAAGAGGTAAAGTTAAAAAAAACTAATAATGGCTATCTGTATTTTGTAGAAAAGATGGAAACTAGGGGGATGGACAACAAAATAGGATGTAAGAATGCAAAGAAATGAAAATGTTTAATTATTTTCCTTTCTATTGATTATATTATGAATAATTATGAAAGATGTACCATTTTACAATTAATTACTGAATCTCAAAATACATGAAACCAAAGGTATCATTTATTTCTTCATGGAATAAAAGATATAAAGGCAGTTGCTTAAATAGACAACTGTCTATTTTCATGATATTCACAGAAATAAATTCTCTTCATTTTCATATATTCTTTCCTAAAATCAAAATGGAAATAAAACCCAAGAGGGTTACTCCACCTGGAGATAACTAAAGTTATTAGTTCTTGGAGAATCCCTCTTGAATGTAGGTATAATCTGGGCATAAGTGGATTATAGCTATGATACCAGGGAAACAGGTATTGCACCTATCTTGAGGTAATTATTCTCCAACTAAGAAACTGATAATCAAGGAACTCAAATTACTCATATGATTTCCTTGTTGAAATTGATCCGTTTATTATTACTTAGATCCTATTTCCAAATTGGAATACAATAATATCTAATGTTTCACTTACAATTTTATTCTTTGTTTCTGGTTCTATAGTCAATTCTGTACAGCAGATTTTTAAGGTGGCACTAAGCACTCTTCAGGAGCAAACTATCCACTTCTTTTATTTAAATCTTAAACATTTAGTTAGCAAATATTGACTTCTAATACATTAATTTTTTTGGTTTAAAGTCTGTAGGATCAGTGTAGAACAGATGAACTTAGTAGTTCTTGAGTATATTTAAATCGGGTACTGACTGTTAATAACTTTTCATTTCTTTGGAAGAAATATCCAAGTCCTAGGAATTCTGACCCTGTTCATTACTGTTGGCTCCAAAATTAGTGGGATGTAATTCAGAACACAATAGCCTCATACTTTCATTCCTCTTCTGCTCTCAGAGGGATGACAGAATGTTTTGAGCCCTCTTGTTATCAACAGACCTAATTATAGAAGAGCCCACCTGCTCTGCTTAAAAATTTAGCACTTTCAATATTTCATAAATAAATGGTAACTGGGGTTATTTAAAATATTTTGTGCTATTGATTCTATTCTCTAAAAGCATAGACATGTAGGAAAACACAAACCATAATCCAATTGAATAAACTTGATTTCTTTTCCCCCCCCTATTTGGTCTACATGCACCACCTGGTGGTAAAGTTGTGCATTTTAAGTACAGAAGTGTGTGTGTGTGTGTGTGTGTGTGTGTGTGTGTGTGTGTGTAACATAGGAAGAATTTTAATATACATTCCTAAACACTGAGTTAGACTGACGATGCAATTACTCTAACCAAATATCTAATAAAACATTTGGACTCTGCCACATATACTCTAGAACAGGAAATAAAGAGAACAATTCATTTTGAAAAGTATAATAGATTTCTGTTATTTACATTAGCTATAGGTTTTATAATTCCATCCCCCAAATGATATTTTTTATTAGGCTAAAGTTCTCATTGAGGCAAAAGTCAAACATTGATACCAAGGTAAAACCATTTTCTTTACTTTTAATTTTAATAATAATAATTTTTGAAATTCCTCTTCCTTATATTAGCCATTGGTATAAATCACAGGATACAGAATTTTAAGAGTACAAAGCACCACTGGATCATTTAGATTAATACTTTAATTTTACAAATGTAGCAGCATTTGAGACTCAGGAATGTCAAGTGACTTGCCCAAGGTCATACTTATTTTAAATAGCCTAAGTCAAATAAGAAACTAGGGCTTCTTGTTTTCAGACTAGGAACATAAAAATTATACTCATATGCAATATTGAATGATCTCTGTGTGCAAAGATAAACCTTTAGCTCAACAACAGAATGTTTTAAGAGACTAAGATTGGAGTTAACACACATTAGTTTTGTTCTGACATTTGAACACAAAAGAGTAATTGAAGAAATATATACATCATAAAGCTGTAGAAAAGATTTTCTAACTAGTCAAAACCCCTTTCATATATGTTCAAGGAAATATTTTCCAAAATCTATGTAAGTGCTGTGCTGTAAAGAAGGTCTACATTTTCCTTTCCCCTCCTAACTGCTTCAGAATCAGAGATCTGTTTCTACAAAGTAGATACCCACTTGTAGATTTAAGCATGTTCATAGCTCCCTCTCATGACCATTGAATATTATACAAGCCTCCTTCTATTCTCGCTGTTGCATTCAACTAACAGCTCACTGGTTAAGTTTTAATTGCTTCCAATGAGGTCAGCAAAGGTATTTATCGAAAAGCCCTGAATAAAAGGCTCCACACACACACAAGCACACACGCGCTCACACACACAGAGAAAATCCTCTTGCCTGTTGATTTATGGAAACAATTATGATTCTGCTGGAGGATTTCTCAGCTGAGAAATAGTTTGTAGCTACAGTAGAGAGGCTCAAGTTGCACAAGGCAGACAACAGACATGGAATTCTTGTGTATCCAGCTGTTATAAACAGAACAAGTAAGTTACTGTTATTTGTCTTTAAAAACAATTCTGAATGTTTTCTAGAACTTTATCTTTTTCTCTGGTTACGGTATTGAGGGGGAAGGTAAAAGTTACCAGATTTTTGAACCATGTAAAAAATATCTATAGTTATTATGTTGTAGAACTTACATAAAGTTGAAGCTCTCCAGAGAAATCCTGACATTTAACTTGAAAAATGTGGGCAGTTCAGGAGAAAATTATTGATTAATCATAAATGTAAAAGCATATAATAAAGAAATGCAGGAAAAGCCTTTATACTTTGTTAACAGTAATTGCAGAACTTGATTTAAATCAATAACTCTGGTTGCAGAGTGTTTCTTATAAAATAGTGACTGAAATGAATGGTCTAGTCATGTTCTGATTTGTTTCTATTCATATATAACTTTTATAAATCTGCATATAGAGTGGTAAAGCTGTTGACACTCTCTATTAAATCTGTCTTAAATGTATCTTTAAAGTATAAACTACACTGCCTGCTATAATCCTATTTACTCTCTGAAATTTATAACACGATTTTTTTTTATCTTCCTCTCTCCTTCCCTCCCCATTCTTAATCTCTCATTGCAAACAGAAGTCAAGTAGCAAACAGCACCGCAGCAACTGGGCTTATTACAACCTGTTTTTATAAGGATTTATCAACACAGAGTTATTTAAGGAGGATCCTGTATTGTTATCAGAAACTAAAAGGATAAGGGTAACAATTTGGAAAGAGCAACTACTCTTTCTTAAATAAGTCTATATAATTAACAGATAGGAAGAGGTCAATGACCTAGGAGTAACAATCAACTCAGGATTTTACTTTTCATTATGTTATTCATGAACACCCGGAGCACTACACTATAATGCACAAATGGATACTGACATGGATCCTGCCAACCTTGCTCTACACATCATGCTTTCACATTATCTGTCTAGTGGGCACTCTATCTTTAGCTTGCAATGACATGACTCCAGAGCAAATGGCTTCAAATGTGAACTGCTCCAGTCCCGAGCGACATACCAGAAGTTATGATTACATGGAAGGAGGGGATATAAGAGTGAGAAGACTTTTCTGTCGAACACAGTGGTATCTGAGGATTGATAAACGAGGCAAAGTAAAAGGGACCCAAGAGATGAAGAACAATTACAGTAAGTAATGTCCTTTATTTAAAGTACTGTTTATAGCCCTTGACAATGTGTTAAAGGATAAATTTTCAGGTGATAAGCTTTCTCAGTTTCTTTTACTTGTGAAATAATAATTAAATGCAATATTGCTTTCTAATTTCTGTAAATTGGGATTGTGTGAACCATGTTCCTAAAAATATATCTTGGAACAGGGCAAGTTTACTAATACTATAGTTGAAACTTATAAATAAGTCAACTGTAAAACACATACTCCATGTCCTTAAAATGATCTTAAGTTAAGCAAGATGTAAATAGTATTATTCACATTGAAATGTGATTTTTTTCCCTAGCAAAGCTTTTTAGAGCTTTCACATACTTCTATGTAAATGCTTACCAAAGTACGAATCACCAGTTTGAGGAAGAGAGAATTTATTTATTTTTATAGTTTCCTTTGAAAGAACATTTCCATGATGCAGAATACTTAATCTGTGTTCAAAAATGCATTTTTGTTCAATTGTGTATAATTGCAAAACTGAAGGGAATCTGTGGCATCCTCATGCATTCATGTTATAATGAGTTAGTGTTAGATTGCTTACTTATCCATCTAGGCATAAAAATAGTTTCTTTCTGACATTTTCTTTATGTAAATCTACTGTGTCATATAAGCTTTATGTTGTTTCAAGAGAAACAGAAATGTCAGTAAATAAAAGTTGAAATAGATATTATTTTCATCATTTATAATTGAAAAGCCTTACATTTTCCCTAAGAATAAGTTGTTATTTTCATATTAAAATATCAGGATTGAATCTTTTTTCAGGATTGAATTTTTATGATTAATAACCAATTTCAATAAAATATTGAAAATATTGTAAAACATACTTCAACATTTACCTTATGGATTTAAAATTCCTCACTGAAAATTAGCTTTGGTAGTATTATCAGGACTTGGAAAATGTTAATATTATACATGTTAGGTATGTTAAAGTCAGTTGAAAAAAATAATGCATGAGGATGGTGGTGTGATCATGTGCCTAGCACAGTGCCAGACTCATAGTAATTACTTAAAACTTTTGTTTCCTGCTTACTAAATGTCTTTTAGACTTCTAAACTAATCAATAAACAAATGAGAATTTGGGAGAATTATGCTTACAATATGAAAACAAGAGGATCTTTAACTATAATTGATACAGAATGTTAAGGCCATTTTGATGGGCTGTGAACAATTATGGTTTTGTTATTATTATTGCTATTAACAAAGGTATCATGTTAATTCTAGAAGATTGTTCTGATTATACTGAAGTTTAGTTAAGGAAATGACTATTCAGAGGAAGTTTTATAGATATTCATTTCTATGTGAGCAATAAAATTTGGCTTATCATCAGTTTATTTAAAAAATATTGAGATTTATGATGGATAATGGAATCTGGTAGAAAGCCAGAGCTCAGATGGAAGTTATAACACATGGTTCCTGTGCCCTTCTGTGAATGACTTTTCAGTTTTTCTAATTTCATCTGTAAAACATGGGATATGTTCTCCAACATACCTTCTAGTTCTTATAGCCTAATCTGTCCTCAACCACAGAGCATATTGCATGAATGTAAAGAAATGTAAGTAGCCATTGTATAGCTATCACCCACAATGAATGAGATGAAAGTGAATATTATCTCAATGACAAGATTTGTTGCCAGATCTAATTTCAAATGGTAGTAATATACTGTAGAACTCTTCTATACTCTAATTCCTTTTGAATGTTTTACCAAATAATGAAAAAGTGAACAGTAGGATGTAAAATTTAGTGGAAAATGAATAATATGTATGATTATTTGGCATCAAAAATATTTTCAATTAGAATGTATTCATACATGTAAATTTTATTTTGTGTTAAAATTTTTTAAAATACATATATGTACATATATATGTGTACATACACACATACCCAAAATACTAGAAGTATTCTATAGTTTGAAATACAATTTGGTAACTTTGAGTATCATAATGCTATTTTGGTAAGTCATTTCTCCTCTAACACTAGTTCAACAGTAAAAAGAAAGGAAAAAAGTCATCCTATGTCATTATACATTAGAATGTCACAATATCAATGTATTAAAAAGACATGACTTACATTATGTAAATAATATTCACCTTCAAGCTTTTTACAAGTCTATATATGTGGTATACTTTTTTGAGATGGTAAATTCTCCTGGAAAGAGAAATCTTCATCAGAATTCTTTAAGCAAACCCTAAATCATTGTCAAATCGCGCTGCTATCTAATTGGAAAAGGGGTCAATAAAGTTTCTTCAAAATTAAGTAGGCTAAGATAATTTTGTCTATAGGAAATACTAAGATACAGAATGAGATAATTCAATGAAGAATCTGTGGAGAATAATTTACAGAAGATAATTCTGATAGCTATTTCCTATTACCTAAGAGGCAGCCTTACTCATTTTAAGAGTGAATATCTATACATGAACATGCAAGTTCACAAGGTGCAATTGAAGCTATTCTATTAGGAAAAATAGATACAAAGGAAATACCTAGGAGAATTTGTTTAAAATAACTCAAAAGGATGAGAAACTTGAAATTCCAAAATCTGGATTGTTTACCACCTTCAATAATTAACAAATGAATGAATAAATGAACAAAAGATTTTCCTTTCTTGTTTTTGTTGAAATGAGAGTTAAAGATAATTGGGTTGTCTACTAGATTCTGATGTGCCAGACTTGTGTAACTAGTGAATATCAGAATTAAATTTTAAATATCATTTTTCATATTTTTATGCCTTAAAATTTTTAACTGGTGTTGAACTTCTTTAGGGGTCCATGATATATATTTTAATATCATAGATAAAAAACCCTTTTGTATGAAAAGTAAGATGCCAGCTATATAAAACATTAATTGTTCTTTGTTACCATAAGAAAGTCCCAATCCATTCTCAAAAGATTTCTTTGAATGAAAGGGAAATGACTTGGGATGTTAATAGCACTTAGAGGGATGCTTAGTTCTACAGACAGAAGCACAGCTCTCACATAAAACTATTTTGGTGGAGTTCTGAGAATTGAATCCAGGGACTTGTGCATGCTAGGCAAGTGCTTTACCACTAAGTCATATCGTCAGTCCTTAGGAATGTGATATTGGTAAATATGGATTGGCATTAGCAGGAGAGGGGAAAGATCTGGTTGTATGTTCTTGCTTCTAGAAGAAGTTAGGCTGGGATAGGTGGAGGAAGAGTGGGGAGGTGAAGAGGGAAGTGTTTGGAGAGGTAGATGTGATTACTATGTCTCATATCTTTAAGGAACTTGAAAAATTACTAAAGCTACCCTGGATTGTGAAGATCTCACTTACTTCAGTCTTACCTTAGTTGTAGTGTCATCTTATCAAATAATTCAAATTTAGTTTACAATGAACACACTACAGAAAGCATGTACCAAGGAACTGACCAGAAATAAGACTTATATTTTTAGACATATGAGCAAGAATTAATTGTGTAGATGGGGGAACTCATGAAAGGCTAAGAAAAGTTGGACCTTATTTCTGACTCTTGAGGGAGAACATCTGTTACCAAAGAACTGGTCCTAAGGAATTGCACACTGCTCTTAACCAGGAGGCAAAACCCTTTTCTCTCTACTTGTTCTTTCTGGTGCTTCCACATTTAGCCTTTGGGTAGATTTCTCAGTGATAAAATTGGAACCTAACTTGAGCAAATAGTAAGTATACTAAAAGCATAAAATGTCCCTTCAAAAAGTACATTTGTGTTCTCTACAGAGGACAAAATTGATAACATCATAAAGGAACTGGAAAGAATAGTCAATGCTTCCACTTCTGTTGAGACAGATACAGAGGGTGAATCTAGATAATTATTGAATCATCAGCAGACAGAGTCAATCACTCCACACCTGACAAAAATAATACTGCTGTTTTAGTTGGGAATTGAAGTGCTGTATGAGAGATGGCAGCAGTGTGCTGGGTGTCCATCAACTGCCCTGAAAGACAGATGTGGAACAGAGAGCCCAATCCTTCAAGATAATCTTCTTTCTTTTGATATCTAATTAATAAAAAATTTTGTTCCTTTCACAATAGTAAATAGAAAAAATCCTTAATTGTCATAAACCACTGATCCAAGAGAAATCATGTCTTCCATGGATATCATTGAGCATTGTTAGCTCCATCGCAAGAAAAGGGTTAGCCATTCTGAAAACTGGCCAATGATTTGGCAATATTCTCTTTTGGATTGTTAGACTGTGATGGGATATGGCCTAACAATTGGCGAAAAGCAAATAAACACAGTATTATTGGATTTGACTTTGGCCACAAAAGCTTCAGCAACTTTAGTTGTCAACAATTCTTTGGATAGGCTCCTATTCAACAATAATTGCTGCTAGTAGCTATCAAATATATACCTAGTCACTCTAAATATGGAAAAGATAAATTTGCTTGTGTTTCAAACAGAATTTAGCAAGTTGTCTAAAGAATAATAACTTACATAGTCAAAATAAAAAACAATATAAAGATAATTCTGCCTTTCAAAAATGATAATAAATGGGCTGGGATTTTGGCTCAGTGGTAGAGCACTTGCCTAGCATGTATTAGGCACTGGGTTTGATTCTTAGCACCACATAAAAGTAAATAAATAAAATTAAGGTATTGTGTTCATCTACAACTGAAGAATATTTTTAAAAATGATAATAAATGTATCTGTGGAGCTCTATGGAACATATCTATGAAAGACAATCCTAGAAATTATTGACAAGATGGAATCCTATAGAACTGATGACCTGAATTCCCATATATAACTTGTCAAGTCTCTAAATTATGGAAGATGCATAAATTGCTGGGAAGAAGATTTGGAAATATTAGCTGTTCTTTGAAACTGTACTATTACATCTTATATTTTGTTTTATAATCTTCCTTTTTGGCTGTGATAAGTGTCTGGCATTTCCTAAATAATAATAACTTCATATATTGCCATAGGCGCGTCTATCATCTCTTAAACCTTCATTTGAACTGACCATTTCCATATCACTGT